AGCACTGCTCCCATCCACCGCTGACATCCCACCCAGATCCAGGGGGAGACACAGATCTGGGTCTCCTCTTGCTCCCTCCTCCCAAATCAGCTTTTTTTTCCCCCCAATCACAGCATCCAACACTTCCCTCTTAAGGTCATCAACTTCCAGCACACCACATCATCAAACTCTCGCTTCAGCTCCCTGCCGCACACGCCGCCCTGCCCACGAGACAGGCAGCCCCAGGGCCAGCACCGAAAGCCATCAGCACCCACCCCTAGCACCCGCCCTCGGCGCGGGGTGCCTGCCCCAGCCAGGCAGAGGGAGCCCCGTGGCCTCCCCGTTCGCACGGCCCCTTCCTAGCCATGTCAGAACTGCAGGCAGCACACCTGATGTTACACACACGCAGTGCTGGCCAGCGAGTTACCCAGCTAAACACTGAAGCCTGAGCAAGCCGGTACTATAAAATTCAGTTTACCTACGCAGGTGCTGACTAGGTACCGCCGTTACCCCAACTCGGCACAGTCGCTGCCCCAACTCTGCTATGACCGAGCAGAAAGAGGCCTGGGATATTGGCTCCCTTCATTTCCTCCTTCCTGCAAATCCCGCTTGAAAGCCAAGGAACGAAAGCCCCGAGATGCACCCCTCTGAAACCCTGCTAGGCGATGATGAGTCAGAAGGTGACGGATCCTGCCGCAGCCTGGGACAGTTTTCATCAGCCCAAGTCACATTTCGCTGTTTACCAAAGAACTTTCCCCCGTGGCTCACACAATGAGTTAAATCAATATGACAGACCAAGCAGAAAAAACCAAACAATTAACCACCCTCTGATGCCTGGAATTAATGCCCTGAATCCCCCCGCTCCACTGCCTGCTGTCCCCGGCTGGGAGGGAGCTCCGCTTCCCAGGGAGGAGAAGGAGCTGAGGGTCCTGGCCCCGCGAGCGGAGAGCAATGGGACAGTCTTGGTCTGAGGGGCTGCAAAATCCACAGGGCTTCCCAGCAGAGACACACAGCCCAGCCCAGCCCAGCCCAGCCTCGGGGACCCTGCAGGGCTCAGGGCTGGTGCTGCCTGGAAAACCAACACGGGGAGCAGAAACTATTTGTTCTTTACTTGCGCAAGCAGACATTACCGGGTGAGAGTCTAGAGATCCCTCATCAGGGGACCCTGCAGGACTGGGACTGGCTTTTTAAGCAACTATAAGACTTAACAGGCTTTTTAAGCAAATGAAATCTCCTGGCCCTCATCCAGCAGGACAGGAGGCTGGAGTAATGCTCCAGGGCTGGGTTTCCAGGCAGACCTGCACATGGGAACTGTGCTGTGCCTCCAGATACATGTGGGCAGCTCTGTGTTAGTGACCCCTCCTGAGGAGGGAGGCTCAGAGGTGCCCTGCATCACCTCTCTAGTCCCTGCTTGGCAGCTAGAGAAGAGCTGGCTTTGGGCTCCCCTTGCCTGGGACGGTGATGCCAACGGAGGAGACGAAGTTCTCCTCCCCAGTTTGACGCTGGGCCAGAGGACCCTTCAGGGCTGCTGGGGCAGGGTCGGTGGGGAAGGTCCAACAATAAAGACAGGGGAAATCACAAAGGGACTGAGAACAGCCGAGGGATGGAGTGACAGAAGAAACACCAGGGGACCTAAAGCCAGCTCCAAATCCTACCTGGACCAGCAAAGCCACCAGCCTCTCAACTGAACCAGCACAGGCTGGCTACAGAAAGCACATCAGCATCAGGCGAAGCCTGGTCACAGGCAAGCCCCGGGAGGGGCCTGATCCTGTCAGTGGCGTCTCTTCCCCAGCTCCAGGCAGGGGATGAAGGGGTATGGGGGATGAAGTTCTCCTTGTGCCTTTCATTTGCTGGGTTTGAGTGTAGGGTCCTGGGTCAGTCCCCAGATCCAGCCAGGCTGCCCAGGCTGCAGCAGCCACGCTTCCCTTATAACCGCTTGTCTTTTACAAGTCCATTCTTCAGGTGCACCCTGTGAAAGAGAGCACAGCAGACAGTGAGCCTTGGTCTCCACACAGACTCTCCCTCTCTTACTTTCACAAATCACTACTGAGACCAGACCTGTCTTGACAGGCTCATGCAGACAATTTGTCCCCAGTCAGCCAGACCTGCTCTGTGGGATCCAGCATCTTGCCAGACTTCGTGCTCGCCACAAGAAGTGCAGATGCTGCTCAGAGAGAACAGCCTCAAGCAAAGAGCCAGTCCTGCACAGCGAGCAGGGGAAGGCGCGGGTGACGATTCACGGGACAGGAAGACGGATGGACACACCACAATGCCTAGGCATTGAGATACAAAGTCCTTCCTGATACTTCAGCAACGTTTTATACTCTGTGTCAAGGCATCCTGCTGCTCTTCTGTTTTCCAGCCCAGTAGTGAACCCTTTGACAGTGGCTCCAGAGCCCTGGGAGGCCTGCCAGGACCCCTTCCCCTAGCCCACAGGTACTGTGCATGTGTGTAGTCCCCCCTGCCCACATACCCTTCTTTCAGAGCATTGGGCAGCTGGAGTCCAGCCTCTTTCTTCTTGACCGTTGTGGTTTTCTTGCTGTCCTCCACGTCGTACTCACGCACATCATTCACCTCTTGCATCTGCCCCATCAGCACCTTGGCCACAAACAGGACGATGTACTGTGGGAGCAGAGACACCGTCAGCCACAAACCCCAAAGCTTAGGGTGCTCCACCCAACCTACTCACTCCCATTTGCTAAGTGGGACCTTTCTCCACTGTGCTCAAGCCCAAGAAGGGCCCGGCAGATCCCTCTGGGATGGCCAAAGCCCTGGGATGTGGCTGATGACCTGCAGCAGTGGGAGGCAGAGCTCCTGCAACTGATTTCATCCCCACAGGATGATGGGCTTGGATGCTCTGCCCAGGGTTGAGCTTGCTGGTGTGAGCCCTCCAAGTCCACCCTTTTCACCCCCTCCCCAAAGCTTCAGGGGATGCCAGAGCATTTACACCCATATCACGTTCCAGCCTGCCCCAGCTGCTGTTATCGCTCCCTCCCTGTGGATCCGCAGGGTGCGAGACAGTCTGAATTCCAGCAGAGAGGAGCCCCCCGGGCACCGACATGGGTTTCCCTCCTCCCCTCCCAGCCACCCCTCCTGCAGTCCCCCCAGCTGCCCCCCCCAGGCAGGCAGGCAGCAGGCGCTATGCAGGAGCAGCAGAAGAGGGAGAAGCTAGCGTAGGGGTTGCTGAGCTCCCCCTACTCACCAGAAACCAGTAGATGTTCATCAGAGTGAGGACAAGGAGCAGAGCATTGAAGAAGAAGTAGAAGGGGATATTGGGGACCAACTGGAGGCTGGAGTAGCAAGTGGCGTAGAGCACCTTGAGGGGAAACCAGTAGAGACGGAACCAGAACCTGCCAGGGCAGAGGGAGCAGGGTGGGTTTAATGGCCCACGGGGATCCCGGGAGAGGCACGAGACCCAGCGCAGCTTCCCCCAGCACAACCTCCTGCCT